GTTAAAAGAGTTTTAATTGTGTACATGTCCAAATAGTTTACATTAACTATAGTTTAAAAAGTAGTATATAGATTAAAGGGGCAATTACAAAAATATCAGTTTTTATGTGCATATTTGTAAAAATGTTATTTAGGGATGTCTATTTACAAAATGTCATTAATTATAGATTTATAAAACCTATATTTTAAAATTCTAAACTCTAAAAAATGTTTTGACACCTAAAACCTCATAAACACTCAAAATTAAACTCTAATAGAACATAATTAACCCAAACATAAATAATATAAAGAAAAAATAATTTTGAAAAAGTGACATTTTTGTAAAGATTTCAAAAGTGTGGCATTTTTGTAAAATGGCACTTGAAAATTGATATTTTTTGAAATTTCTCTTGATTAAAACACAACTCAGTATGGATGATTATGTTATAATCTGGTTTCAGTTTCTATTTGGATTAATATACCAAAACATCACCTCTTTCTCAAAAAAGTTTTAGGTTAATTTTTTCGTTAGATTCAATGTTAAATTTACTTTTTTATTAAATATTACGTAATAATAATATCATGTAATCAAAAAGCCTAAATTTAATAATATTACTTAAATTTGAAAAAATTAAGAAAATAGGCCAAAAATAAATTTAAATTAAATAAATAGGTTACGTTTTTTTAAATTAAAAAATAAGCTATTATTGACATATTTATCCTTTTTTAAATAAACAAAAATTCATAATTTTTTACATATTAATAATCTCTAATTGAAAAATTAAAAGGGAACAACTCATCTCTTATATATTAATTGGAAAGTGATTTGTTTATGTGTTTTCACCAAAATCAATCTCGCAATTTAGTTGTGACATGACATTGTAAAAAATGTGACATAGCATTCTAACCCATTAATCTCTAACTAAATTAGTCAAAACTCATTAAGAAAATCGGTCAATCTCTTATTAACCCAATTATCCAACACAATTAAACCTAACATTCACTATATATAAGAGATCACAACCATAATTTTTATGATATCAATTCAATTAGCCCAAACTCATTAAGATAATCGGCCAACATCAATTATTAACTCAATTATCAAACACAATTAAACATAATCTTCACTATATATATAAGGGATCACAGCCAATTTTTTTTATATCAATTCCGTTGGCTCTCAAACTGTTTTTCCAATTTTCTTGATTTTTTAATTTTCTTAAAAATGGAATTTCCATCAAATCAAATGTAAAAGAAAAAATTTTCCGTTGGATCAAATGTCTTTTTTATATAATTTTTTTTAGTTTTGACTCTTTTTTAATATAAAGAGGATATCATTTCAGGTATATCCAACCTAAACAATTGTTAAG